CACAGCACAGCACAGCACAGCACAGCACAGCACAGCACAGCACAGCTTCCTACAGTGGAACCTGAACAGGGAGCTGCATTCAGCTCCCCCAACAAGAACAGAGGTCAAGGGTATTTATTCGAGCTGTCCCAGATGTGCCCACATGACCTTCATTAACAAATTATCTAAACAGCTTGTAATTTTCCTAAGTACATTTATCAGGTGTGACTTGAAGTCTTACAGAGCTAAGCTCAGTCTTTTCATAGGATTTGGGTAACAGCAAACTATGGAGGATGGGAAGCAACTTAACTGAGTCTGAGGTGAGAGTGAGGGCAGGAGACCTGGTGTGGCTACTTATGGGACTGTCCTTTGTGTCTGATAACCAAACAGTTACAACAATGTACTTAAATGTAGGGATGGAGCAGGCTCCAAATCCATCCAAAAGCTGGAGCCCAGGTACAGACTAACAGGCTGAGCTCAAAGAGTGAACAAGGTGGGAAGAAATCTATTTCTGTAGATAATGCTTGTGACAAAAAAAAAAAAAAAAAAAAAAAAAAAAAAAAAAAAAAAAGTAACACCAAATACATATGCACACACACACATAAAAGCCAGTCACAGGCAGTGATACTATCAATATTGCTACTAAAAGTAGAGAAAGTAGATGGGAAAAGTCAATGGTGTGTAGCAGAGCAGCAATAGCTTTTTAACAGACTCTCTTCACTGCTTTTGTGACCTCTTCCTTCACCTAAACTGGAACCTGTGCATGCTCTTAAAGGTGACTATCTTGTGCCAGGTGAACTGTTTTTGCCAGTAAATGCATCTTGTCAAGAAAAAATACTTAGAAACACACTTGTTATTGGAAGAGTCATGCTGATGAGAGTAGCTGTAGGAAAGTAAGAAGAATTTGGCTTTGTAGAAAAGCAATATTTTCATTCTTCTGAGTGGGTTTCACAATTAACTTAGCATATTCTTGGAAATGTTCTTGACAGTGCCGTTTTAACCAAGGAGAAAACTGGCAAGATCATGTTACAGCATCAGATATACGGAGCAACTGGTGTGGAGGAAGTATTAATGCCCACAAATCTCCTATGTAAAATCACGGACTTGCCTATGAACCTACAGTGAAGCAAGCTTCATCCAGCTGCTCTCTGGCATGGATCCTGAACAGACCTTGCAGTTGGTCCTACATCTTAAGTTACTCTTCTCCTCCCCCACACGCTGTTAGTAGCTGTACCCATTACATTAAGCATTTACAGAGCTGCTGATGGCTGCGCTTTTCCTAGAGATACAGACAGCTCAGCTAAATGCCATTGATGGGCTCTCCTAGGCTTTCCCAGTAAAACGCTCCAGCTAAAGGTGTAAGAGAAAAGGGTGAGGCAGTCCTGAAGGAGAACTTCCTAGATGACTGCAATCCAGAACAGAGTAGTAATGAGCACCAGGATGCACCTCTTTGTGTACGTTAAAGGACTCTGGTCCTTCCTAAAGAGATATGGGGTAGAGCTCATTTTTACTTGTTCTGGCATTTGCTCACACCCTGTTATTGACAAGACTTCTTGCCAAAACCAGTCTCCCTCCTTATCACGTAATTTATACGTGCTTCTTTGTAGCAGTCTCTTCCTCTTTGATGTCCTTTGAGTCTAAGCCCCTCCAATGATCGAGCAGAGAGGTGTGTATATTGACAGTGCTTGTAAAAGATCAATGTGGTCTCATTCTCCCTGGGTTGTGCTCCCTGCTCCTCCAACTCAGTACAAACTGAGACTGTTTTAGGCATTTAAGCTAATGAAAGATTAGCATTTCAGAAGTCTGTGAACAAAGTCCAGAATTTTGTTGTTGTTATTTATATACTATTTATACACATATTTATATACTATTAGCAAATCCAAGACTTGTGCAATATATGCTTGTGTTACCCTTATGTCATTCCTGTGTACTGCAGTGTATAAATTATTCCTATTGGCCATTGCTGGCTGTGTCTTGAGAAGGTAGCACTGAAAAGGAAGCACTTTCTGCTCCTTTGCAGAAATGCAGCAACTACACTAAATACAGCTCTGAGCTTAGCCTGCTTTCTGCTTGATTCAGCTGTCTAAGATCTGCATTTCTCCCTGAAAATCACTTTGCCTTCTGTAGGGGTGAGAAACCAGGGGAAATGACAGGACTGGCTTTAGATAACAAAGAAGAATGCCAGGTATGAGGAGGTCTGGAAACCCATGCCAGCCTTAAATCAGCTTTATGTTTGCCTCAGCGGGGGATGAAGTTCTTGGGAAACAGGTCAGAAGGACAGGCATGCAAGGGAAAAAAACAACAACAACACGCTACTTCATTTCTCAGAAAAAGAATATTATCTCTCTTCCTGCTCCTCCTCCAGAAGCAGCCATTTCTGATTCCTGAGATAAACACAACTGTTTTTTCTGTTCCTCCTTCCTTTCCCAAGCTCTGTTTTCATAGCTTCTCCTCTGCTGCAGTGCTCATGGGCAGCTGGGAGCTTGGGAAGGTGCCTTCCAGCTTCTTCCTCCTCCTCATCACCTTACCTGTTCCTTTGTCTCCCCAGACCTCAGCAGAGTGTGCCAGCATAGCCTCTGTGCTATTCTATTTGCTGTTCTATTTGTTTTCCATTGATTGTGTAAAATCCATTTGAGGGCTCAGGTATTCCTCACTAATTTTGCTGTATTTTCTTATTCCCCTACTCCTCCTGAGAGAAGAGGAAGTTTTTACAGGTTAATTTTCCAGACCAGCTGCATGCCAATAAACAGTTACACAATATTTACTTACTGCAAAGGAAAAAAGCCTGCAGTAATCTATGAGGGGGGGGAAAAAAAGTAGGGATCATTTTTTCATGCCTCAACAATGGAGTTCTGCTGGATGAGCTCACAGCAGCATCTGCAGTGGAAACAGTTAACATTTGTGTTTAAAAAAAAAAAGGATGAACATGAAACTAAGGTGGAACATTTAAAAATAACTGTTCTTAATGTTGCTACGGAGACTTTTATTATAGACATAGTACGTGATGTGCATTGATCACATTCCACATAGGTAGCATTTCTCACTCAGACTAGTAGAAACTGACAGTTCTCCCACTTGTACGAGACAGTATGAAGAAGCATGCAGGTCATGGTAGAGAGGTGTACTTGAGTTTTCAACTCTTAAAAAACTGTAAGTGTGCAGTTTTAGTATGCTATTGACTGTTTCTTGCCCTTGCAGATACCCTTTGTTTAGTACATTTTGCCTTTTCTATAGCAGAAGTGTATAGGGTTGTAGCAATGCTGGTGATAAACATAGTGATCCCATCATAAAAATAAGGGCTATAATTCATGTGGTTGGCACTGCACGCATTTACAGCTTTCTGTTAAATCTTAGTAGTTTCAATACATTACATTCAAATAAAAAAATATATTGACTGCTTGAAAGATTGCATTTGCCTTTGAGCTGGCTTGATTAGACCATAGTATTGAAGGCAGAAAACGCATTGCTTGTGCTCATGCACATAGACTCCTTTATAAAAATGCTGTTGAGAAAATGCTGCTGATTGAAAGCTGTTAAATCAAAATCTTGGCCAAAAAAAAAAGAAAAAAAAAAATAAAAAAAAAAAATTACCGTATTCTAAGCTTTGCTCATTCCAGTAAAAATAACAGTGGATAGAAATGCAGCCCTCAAAGAACTTCAGTTTCACTTTTATATGACAGTTTTCATCTCTCTGAATTTTTTAATATTGACTTGGATTAAATAACCTCGTATGGATGAGAAATTTTTTGCAGATTCAGGAAGCCAAGCTTCTTTGGGGCTTATTTCATAGAAGTTTTAAATTTCATATTGAAAATATTTACTTCAATTTTTCCATTTGTTAGACAGACAGCTCAATAAGTAAATTCAAGTAGAAGTGTGCAACGCAGCACTTCAGGCAGCTGTGGTTTCACAGCCGTGCTTTTAAAACTGCTGGAATAACTGCAGCTGGTGGGTAGAATTTATAACTGATTTGCTGAGGTACTGAGGACAGCAGACAGGTTCCTCCCTTCTGTCAGCTTGCAGACCTGAATTCTCCCTTCTCAATCGTCCACCCTTCGGTACATTACTGAAGCTACAAGAAGAGAGCCTGCCTTAAAATGGGAAAATTATCCTTTGATTAAGAATGATTTGAATTTTTTTCTCTGTCAGAAGTTTGGAACTGAATGTGAAGGACAAAGGTTTAAATCACACCACTGCCAAGGGTTTTTATCTACTATTTTTACAGATAATCCGAATGGTAGAGGGAAAAAAAATATCTCAAAGTAATATTTCTCTTTATTATTGTTAATCTTCTCCTTCTCTAGGCAGTTCATTTAGCCCATTCTCCTAAAGTCTTATGCCTTGTATAATTATGCTTATGTACAAGCTGTGTAACACAGCATTCCAAGCGGCAAAATGCCTGTGAAACTACAAGGCGCTTTTGCTCTTCTAAATGACAATTTTCAGGATGAAACATGAGGTAATGTTCGTAGGTGCATTCAAATTGGGCTCATATTTTCCTTGCTTTGAACAAATTCTGAACAGAAGCAGCACAGTATAGTATGAAACCAGACTATTAAATAAACTGTAACAGGATGAAGGCAGGAATAGCAGCATTGTGCTTTCTCAGCATAAATCTATTACTGATAGTTCTTATGAAGATTTCAGTAATGCAGCTATTTGTCTTACATAGCTGGGCAGAGTAATACAAATATGATGCTGGGGTGTACACAGTTAGGTTTGCAATTATTAGTTTCATTGAAAATCTTCAGGTCACGTCCTTATGCTGCTTGAATTTGTGCAAGAACACGCTGTGATAAAACTACCTGCTTAAAGGCTGGTCACATGAGTCCTCATGCTCTATCTTTTTGTTCTTTGACTCCAGAAAAATCAATACAGGTACAGGAAGCCTGTTGTAAAATCCTGTTACCAGGGAGGAACAGAAACAAGACTGTGAATTAATGTTTCTGTTTGCCATTCCCTTGCTTGCTGCCAACGGAAAGTAAAGCCAACCTGCTCCACACTCAGATGGACGAGTTCATCTCTAAAGTGTGCATCAGCTCTACAGGCATTGAGCCCTTCCACAAATTTGAAATTGTTTTTAATGCAGTTTATTGAGGCTTCTTGTGTCAGCCAAAGCCTGATTTGGAATAACCCAGGAAGAGAGCCAAGCATTAAAAAAAATTAAAATCTGAGGTTGTGGAACATCTAAAACATATTGATCATCATGTAATTATACTTGAAATGTATTAGGGGAAGTAGCTAAAACCATCTTCAGCTCTAAGAGAGCTGATGTGGGAACAGGCAAGAGGGCCTTGGGGAGGCTGCCTTATGAAGGATGGCAAAACTATTTCAGAAAATGTACAGGAAAGTTAAGTGAGTGAGTGCTAAATGACAAATGTGGTAACAACAATCCCAAACTTTTCACTTTCTGAAGATTAAGAGAGCTATCATTTACATGAAAACCAGAAGCCAGGGAAGCAGATGCAGCACGAAGGAGCATACGTGTGACAAATCTCGCGTCTGAATTAAAGAGCAGTTCCTGGACTTGAAATGCAATGGCAGGCTGGAAATAAAGGAAATCTTCCATTTGCCTTGGATACTGGTAATATAAAAAGACTGAATTTGTTACATTTACATTTAAAATGGCTTTTTTTTTCTTTTTAAATCTTGGATAAGCTATCTCAGAGCTACAGTTCCTAAGAGGAGGATCTTGTTTCATGACATAATAAAAGCCAGTGTCAGGCGAGATAGCAACTGAATCCCTAATTAAGAGACAGGATACTCTAAGCTTTAACATGAGCCTCTTCAAGTAAGTATCCAAAGCACCTTTACGTCCAAAACATTAAGCTCTCGATTAAACAAGTATAAAGTACTTTTGATGATAATTAAAGATGAGCTTCAGTCAAAATACTGGCTTTATGCTAGGGCCAAACTAAATCTTGGATTTGAACCCTCATTATCATTTGTTTTGACACATTCTGATCAGAATGGATCAGGGTGGTTCTATTAATAACCATCTCAAGTGCTTTATTTGTTGCACCTAAGATGGCACAATCAGTCAAAGTATCCCTGGTATCCCTCACATCCTCCTTAAAAATAACTAGCAGTTGGTGAAGTGGGGAGCAGAGGAATATTGCTCATCTGAACTGTACCTGAGCGATCTGGAAATGAATACTGATCCAGAAGAGAGATGGATGACAGATCAGTTGGAAAGAAGCCTTCGTAGGGAGCAATGGGAGGTGGGGTGAGCTCTTTCTATATTGCAATCTGCTTCTTCTAAGGGCAGAATAAATACTGGGGGGAAAAGAAGACAGTGTAGATGGCATCAAAGGAAGTTTGACACGCTTTAAAACTTCAGTGTTTTTAATGAGGTTCACTCCAGTAAAATGTAGAATCACCTGATAAGTAGATGACCTTGTGCTTGGCAGAGTTCAAAGCCAGAACTGCAGGCAGTCCTAATCACTGCATTTCTTTTCTTTTTTCCTTTTTACAGATCTTCAGAACTGGACCAGATCAGCTGTAGTGCTCTCTCAATGGTAGAAGCCTGAGGATGGTTGAAAGGAAAGGATGTACCACAGCAATCTGTCATCAGTGCAACTTCCAGCAATCTTTGTAGTTAACAGACCGTAGTGGATTTTTTTTCTCCTCATGAATTTACCTAATCACTTTCTAAATCCTGTTTCATGCAATACTGTGAGAATAATCATCTAATTTTGGTCTCTAAGACAAGAAATACAAAAACAATAGGAGGCCCAGGAAAGAATGAAATTTTGCCAACCGATATTACAAAAACAGGCAACAATTACAGCATATTGACGAAGAAATTTACTAAAACCACTCATAAAATAACCCAGCATTTCCTGCTGTGAAAATGAATTTGTTATTTAGACCACATCACTGTTTTTGAAAAATCACCACCTGTAATTGCTTTTCTAAGCTTGTGACAAGGGCATTTCTCTTTTGGTGTCATGATGTCAAATTAAAAGTGTGCCTTTTCAACTGGTAACACTGTCTAGGGTTAAATAACAAATCTTCCCAAACTCTTTACTCAAAGATTTTTGCATCAGTTATAAATGAGAAGAAAAAAAGACAAATGTTTCTAGGATGTCACCAGTCTTTGCCTAGCAGTGAGAAATTCACTGTGAAGTTATGCTTCTTGTTCTCTACTACAAAACCAACTTTTACGTATTTTGCAATCCTCGTCCACTATTTCTGCTGTAATCTCTTGCAAAATGTTGAAAATTTAAAGCTCTACACTCACATGTTTATTGCCCTACAATCTGATTTACCAAATAAAAGAATATGCCCAGGATTTTCTGAGTATTTTTCTTGCCTACATATAGGTGAAATATTCCCTTTAACAAATAATTCTCACATTAAAAAAAAAAGAACAACCATGCACATCAGGTCTAACTTATGCATGTGCAGCATCCTATTTAATAATTTACAGCTGTGCAAAGAACAAGCAGGTGAGTATATTCCATACAGCTGTGTAACCAGAGTGGAAACTGAATGACTGCACGCACCTTTCTATTTATCCAGGCCTCCAGAAAATGCAAACAGTACTTTCTAAACTGAAGCCAAAGCCATAAATGCCTTGAGACCCTTTCCAGATGGTACAGAGATGAACCTTTTTTCCTGTCACATAACATGATTTTGTTTTCTCTCTCGAATCATTTCAATCCAACCTAATGTTATACAACATTTTTGCATGCCCTTTTTCCATTCGTGTTAATAATATTTGCTGCTAATTCTGATATTCTGTCCTTGTCACTGAAAATGCTGAAACCCATCCAATTCTTGCTTCATAATATGCCTCCAAGATTACACAGCTCTTGATAAAAACGTTCCTGGGAAAGGATAAAAGTGATTACTGAGCTCAGTGCTTCAGATTTTAAGCTGCCATCAGGTGCATAAAATGTGACAATTTTTCTCTTTTGCTTGTTTAACAGAGGAAAAAGCTCAAATGAAACACCTGAAAAAGGTTGTTTTTTTTTTAACCTGATGTTCCTCCTGACCCCAAACTAAAGCTGCTATTGCCTCTCTGAATATATTATTCCTTTCCTGAAAAGCCATTTAGTTGCAAATTCAAAAACTTTCTTACTGCATATGCCTGTATTAGCCATGGTAAAGGCCTGTAACAGAGCAGAGCCAATTCTGTACTAATGACCTCTCTGGTATTTCTATAGAAATGCTCTGTTAAACACCCAGGCATTTCAACTTCCAGTCACAAGACCTATAAAAAATTCATACACTGAATCTCTAGTTTCAAACCACAGCTCTGCATCATTAAGAGCTTTTCAATCCTCCCACCCCATAGACATTATGCAAGAAGGGGGGAGGGAGGCTTTATCCTCCCAGCACTTAAATTTCACATTTTCTTCTCCTGTCTGCGATTTCAACTGGCTCTGGATGGCGGTTGGTAAAAATGTGTGAGCTGAGGAGCACAGAAACAGGTTCATGTCTCATCACCACCGACAGAGCTTGAGAACACTTCGGCTTTCGAGATTTGCCCCCAACTTCTCTCATCAGCAAAGGGGCTTCTAAGGAATCCCAGCACCTCCGTGCACCTCGAGCTCTCTCCAGCGGGATTTCACTCAGAACCCACCAGCCAGCTGCTCGTCTCCGAACACCGCCCCTGGCCGACAGCCCCATCCCATCCCCCCGACAACAGCCCGCCCCGCAGCCATTCCCAGCGCTCCGTTGCCATTCCCGTTCCTCCCACCCTGGCGCATGCGCACGCCGCACAGTGACGCCATACCGCCCGGCACCGTGACGCTCCCTACGGGACCTTCCTTTCTCCGCCAATAGCATCGCGCGGAGGGCGGGTCGGCCCCGCCCCCTACGCCCCTGCCGCCGCCGCCGCCGCTGCCGCCGGGCCGCCGCGGGGTGGACCCGGATGAGGCGGCGGCACGCGAGGAGCGGCGGCCCGGCAGCCGGCAGCCTCGGGCCGTTAAGCGCGGGGCCGTGAGGGGAGGGAGGCGCGCCGGGGGGCGAGGATGCTGCCGGTGTACGCCATCCTGCTCTCGGCGCTGGCCGGCTGTCTGCTCACGCTGCTGCTGCAGCTGCTGCTCCTCTATAGGAAAGCCCCGCAGCCCCCCGGGGGGACCGGAGCCGACGACGGCCTCGTCTACGCCCGAGTCGCGGCCGGCCGCAGCCTGAAGGACTATCTGCGTGGCACCGAGTCCGCGGGCGGACAGGCGGCCCCGGAGCCGGCCCCGGCCTCGGCCCCCGCCGCCTCAGCTCCTTCGGCGGGCCCGGAGCCCGGCACCAAGCCGGCCCAGCAGCCTGAGCCCGGCCCGGAGCCTACGTCCAGCGAGGAGACGTGCCATTTCCTCAACGCCATCTTCCTCTTCCTCTTCAGGGAGCTCCGGGACACGGCCTTAGTGAGGAACTGGGTGACCAAAAAGATCAAAGTGGAGTTCGAGGAGCTGCTGCAGACCAAGATGACGGGGAAGGTGTTGGAGGGGTTGAGCCTTCGGGACGTGTATCTGGGCAACGTTCTGCCCGTCTTCAAGGCCGTCCGGCTCATCCGGCCCGTGGTGAGCAGCGAGGAGGGCTGTCCCGAGGAGTTGGGCTTTGAGGTGGACCTGGAGTACAACGGTGGCTTCCATCTGGCCATTGATGCGGACCTGGTCTTTGGCAAGTCGGCCTACCTCTTTGTCAAGCTGTCCCGGGTGATGGGCAAGCTGAAGCTGGTCTTCACCCGCCTGCCCTTCACGCACTGGTACTTCTCCTTCATGGATGACCCCCTGATTGTCTTCGAAGTCAAGTCACAGTTTGAAGGGAGGCCCATGCCTCAGCTCACTTCCATCATTGTCAATCAGTTCAAGAAGGTTATCAAGCGCAAGCACACCCTGCCCAATTACAAAATCAGGTAAGAGGTGGCCTGTGCCCAGAATATTACTTGGGAAGTGGCGTGTTGGAGTTGGTGTTATGTTCTTAGTGGGTAGAGAGAGACTTCTGTCAGTATTTCTGCATTTGGGGCGCTTGTGCATCTGTTATTGATAAAGCTTTCTATGGAGTTAAGCATGGATTTACAATTGCAACAGGTGGAAAAAGCCATCGCACTGTGAGACTGTGACAAGCCCCAAAATACATAGGACTAAGTGCTAGAAACAGGTGCTGGGAATTCTTGGATCCTGTCAGGTGTCCAACAGCAGGACTGTGGTCACCTTTGGGAAGGGCTGAAGATTGGCTCTGTGGGACAGCATATGGCTTGGGGGTGACCGCCTTCTGCTGCTAAGCCTCCTTGGCCAGAGCTGTGGCTGATGCTTGTCCAGAGAGACAAGGGTTTTGTTGCTTAATGTGAGACAGGAATAAGCCCACTCTCTAGGGAATATTTCTGGAATCACATGATAAGCAGTGTCCTCCTCCTTCTGGTTCGCTTTATTTCCTCATAACTTTGGTGAAATGTGAAAGTTGATAGGGGTAGGGGATGTGTTGCGAGTGTTGTGGTAAAGCTTCGGGGAACTTCTTGGGTTTTTTTGTTTGTTGTTTTTCTTTTCTTTTGAGGCTGAAACATTTTCTCTCTGTGAAGGCAGATGCTGCAGCACATAAAATGCAAAGTTCAGGGATGTTTCTGTAGTACAAGTGGCAGGTGGCATCATTTTGATTCCACCTTGAGTTCTGATTTGAAAAATCGATACTGCCTTGCCTCTTTCAAGGTATACAATGTTCCCCTTATCTCAAGCATCTTAACACTGGTAGGATATGATGTTTCCTTTCTCTCTGGTTCACTATTTGTCGTTCTTGTTAGGTATTCAGGAAGGATTTTTGTTTACTACATTCCTCTCCAATAAGCCTTTTCTCTGAGATTCCTCTGGCATGAGTAACTGAAAATGTCTGTTTGAAGTGTAATTAGCAGTGTCATAATTTTTAAAGCCTTTTCAGCTGGTTCTTCTACAATCTAATTTAGAAGGGTTCTCACCAAGGTGGATGTGTGAAATATCCAAGATTTGAAAGTCCCTAAAGGGCAGTAAGTAGTTTCTTAAAGTAATGCTGTGGTCCTTTGAGATTTCAGGGTACTGAATTGCTGTCTGGAAGGCCCTGGGCAGCAGTGAAACTGTCGAGCAAGGTTGCTTCCATCCTTTTACCATTTTGGAAAGAGACTGAAGCTGCTAAATGTGGAAAAGAGCCCAAAAGAGAGGCTGGGAGAGCACAGCGCAGTGACAGTGAGCGTTCTCAGTGTACCTAGAAGGAGCAAGTAGAGGAAATAATCTTTATGCTCTCCAGACAAATTTCTAGCCTGTTTGTGGAAGCAATGATGATGTGCTCTTCCCCTTAGCAGCAGGAGAAAGGCTTCTTTGCTTTTCCTTTGGGAGATTCATCTGGACAGCAGGGCTTTGTTTTTGTCTGGATGTAGGGGATTGTCAATATATTTCTCAAATGTTCTGCAGCATTTGGCATGTGGGAGCCACTGGTATGTTAAAGAGACTGGAGGGGAGAAAGGGAAGAAGCAGAGCTCAGTGTTTGGGCCAGAAATGAGAAGAAGTGTATGAAGACAGGAGTTAACTGACACTGAGAACAACACAAGACACATGAATGGTTATAAAACTAAGAAGAGTTAACTTATTTTAGAACATTCTCTTTAACTTGTCAGGAGTTGGGAATTTGAGAATGCTTGAAGGGAAAGCACTGTCACAGCTGATTCTCACACTGGATAGTTGCCTTGTTTTACAGGGTGGCAGATGTTCAGTGGTGCCCATCCCATGTTTGGTGCTTTGGTCCTTTACATTTTATTTTGTGTTCTGAGTATGAAATTCTGACCCACTGTTTTGCAACAGGGGGGAAGGCAGGAGACTGAGTTTAATGCCTGTTAATGAAATTACCTTAAGTAAGGAAGACTGGATCATTGGCATTCTGACTGTTTAGAACTCTGCCTTTGACATTTGCTAGTGGGACTGCAGAGCCATTCCTTCATGGGGACCTTTAGGCTCATTATCCGTGAACCTTCCGGCTGTCCACATGGACCCAGCATTTTGTAGAGCATATTGTAAGAGTTGGTTTAGCTAGATCCCCGGACAGCAGAAGAAACTAACAGATAAGTAGTGACAGTGCACTCTTATGTGGTGGTATAGTTGAGAATTAAAGCATTCAGGCTTATGTGATACAGAGAACTGATTTGGAAAATCTAGTTCCCTATTAAAAAGATGCAGAACTTGGTATTTTTAATAGATGTACTTACATGGCTAATGTATTCCTAGAAATATTCCTTACCAAAGAGTGTAAAGAAGTCAGGACAGTTTCACAACTGCTTAATAACCTGCTACCTTACTTAAAACTTAACAATTTCTCATATACTGGGAATGTGCTTGTCCTCTCTCCATTCTTTTCATATGGTCTATATGCTTCTTGTTTAGAACCTGGTGCTTGCTTCTGTGCGTAGTTCAAAGCTCTTGCTCAAATAACTGTAAATAAATCTTTGAATAGCAGTAATTACAACCCTGTAAACAAAAGCAATTGGAGTGTAGGGAGTTCTCTTTCCAGCTGGTTAAAAGGGTTTGTTATCCTGATAGATTCCAGATTGAGTCCTCAAAGGAGTTTTAACTTTAAGATGATAAGTGGTGTTAAAATTAAAAAGATGCCATTTTTGCTGCTGTCTTTATTAGGCAACTTTTAGAGAGTTGTTGCTGTTGAATGACTTGAGAACTTCTGCCAGTAGTTGATTTTTTTTAACACTCTGTAAATAAGTAACACAGATCCCCCTTCTTGTGTTATTTAATTGTAGAATATTATCTAGAAAAAGCATATGTGTATTTTGTCTTCGCATACATAGTGGATGTCTCCTTTTGTTGCCTTCCCAGATATGTACCAATTTTTAGGCAACAAAGCAGTGATTACCAATACCATCTTCCTTCATATCATCCACTGCCAGGAGTGCATTGCACACAGCTGCAGTGTGAATGGGAGTGAGACCTCGTGCACTCCTGATGCGCTCTGGGGATCTCTGGGGGGAGGCAATGTAGAACACTGTGTCTCAGAACTCACTTAGCATAGCATGTACAAGTTTCTCTATCAAAGCAATTGTCTACTAATTGAAGAAGGAGGGATGCAGTTTGTCTAAACAAATAAGCAGTGATTTGTGTTTATTCTAATAGTGTGTAATCTCTTTGCTTTGGCCCTTGAAGAAACGTATTTATATCTGGCAAACGCTCATTTTGAAGCTGTTGCCATTCAGTGCAGAGCAGCTATCTCATATGGTAAGGGCTGATTGCATTCCTAGAAGCAAGGCTGCCAATCAAATTCAGTATTCAAATTCAGTATCAAATTCAGTAGGGTGGTTTTTATTTTTTCAGTCATTGTTGGTGAAGGGTCTGTGCAATTCGCTTGGAAATAGCAAGAATTATTTCTATTCTGTAGCTAACTTCAATGTTTTTTGTCGCTTTGCTATAGAAATATGAGCAGCTTGCTTTTCTAAACCTGTGATCTGTTAGAGAAGCATCTTGTACAAAATGTTCTTCCTTTTCTTCCAATACATGTGAGCTTTGGTTCACTCTTGAGAAAGGAGATAATCGCAGATCTGCCACTTAACCACCAGCTGGGTTCTGCCATCCCAGGATCTCTGCTACTGGCACTCCTGGATCCAGTGAGTTGCACCCACCAGCACACTTTGACCCATCGCTGGGTTCTTTATGTCGGCTTCTTTTGCTACAGATGCTGATAGATGCCAGTTACCAGCATGCAGAGTTTATTGAGCAGACTGAACCCAAGCTGTCATTTCTCATAGTATGCTCTCAAACAGTTCTGCAGAAGTAGTACCACAGACATTTTTTTATGCTGGTTTTGACTTCTAAATTGTGTCCATTTAATAGTAGGCTAAAGTGGTTAATGCTGGGCTGTGGTCACTAGCATTGTCACAGCACACTTAGTGTTTAGAGGCAGATAGCAAGGACTGTTTCAAGTGTCTGCCTTCTTGATTGTTTGTGCTTCTGGAGGTGTTACACGTTCATTTCTTAGTTCTCTAATGAGCTTACCCTTGCTCATTAACCTGCTTATTGGTGGCAACGTTGATATTTCATGCCAGGTGTGTAGTTCACTAATTACACTGTATTCAGAAGCCTGTTCTTGAGTCAGCTATAGTTCTGTTGATTTGTACAGGTTCTGATTTTCTTGTGCCAGGAGCTCTGGTTCTTTCTTCATTTTGGTTATTTTTTGTGTGTGGTTTTTTTGGGGCTTTTTGTTTATTTGTTTTTGGCTCTAGACAACTGAAATACACATTTCTGTAATACACAGGAAGAGTTTAGTATCTATAAAGGGAAAGGAGGAAGTACTTGCAATTTCCCTCCAAAAGTGAATTTCAAAGTATTTCCCCATCAGTGATGTCAAAATTCTGGCAGCCGCTGTTTTCCCCTGAGTTTAAGGTCTTACAAGTTCATCCATTTAGATCCTAAGCAGCTTAGGTATTGTCAGAGCAGTGGGGGAGTTCTGTGTATTTTAAGAACACTTTGTATCTCTATTCTGTATAGTAAAAAAGGAACTTATTTCGGTGTGGATATAAGGTTGTTTGAGAGAGTGCATTTAGCTTTAATGCATGCTGTCAGAGTGGAGTTGCTCTTTCTTCAGAAGTAATCTCACAAAGGATTACTTCAACATTTTTATATTTGATATTAATTAAGTGACCACCTGAAGTCTTTTCCAATGTGAATGATCCTTTCAGCTGGTCATTTGCAATATAATTAGTTACGTTAATTGCATTGCAAACTGCATTGTTTGTAAGCTGAAGCTCTATTGAATATCAGTGGCAAGAACCATTAGACAAACTTATCTTAATTTACTATTACAGAATGCAAGTTGAGGGTTACACAGCAGTTTCTTATTTTTGGCAAAACTGAAGCTGAGAAGTAATGCAAGTAGCTATTGATTATGGAATGTTTC